AGTCATATTGGTCTTCATAATACATACTCGAAGTTCATACTTTGTAACCTCCCAAATGTAAAAGTTTGGTGGTCATTTGGTTTCTCTAGAACGTTTATGCATTGTATACTGTGGATAACAGTAACTCTCACTTGCATTTGTGATATTTCCAATTTCTGACATAGTAAGAGCATTGAAGCAATTTTACAGTATTTGGGTTGAAGGACTTGTGAGAAAGGAAAAGAAGGGAAAAGGTGGGAGGGATTTTTGTTGTTTGGATAGTACATTTAGAGGGTGAGGGAAAAGAAGGAGAGGGGAGGGAATGGAAGGAAATTGTGTCTTTTATTTTTTAAGAAAATAATCTCTCCAATATTGTAGAGATTTGGAAAGAAAATGGTAACACCCGTCACATAAGTCTGCCTCTCCTCTTTCCCTTGCTTTCTATGTCCGACCCTTGTTACTTTTTCTTGCCTCCTTTCCCTGGCTTCTTTGTCCACCCTTTTTTACTTTCTCTCCTATTCCTTTTTTATTTCTTGTTCTTTTATTGTTCTTAGATTTCCATCCTGTTCCCTCCTCATCTCCGTCATCGAAACAATGGAATTACTTCTCTACCTTCCTCTTCACTCCCTTTCCTTTCTAATTTTCTATCCAAACACAGTGTTTAAGAGTCCTGAAACATGTGCTTGATAGTTGGTACTACTTAATGACATAAGATATAAAAGGTTAGGGGGGAAACCTAGAATTGGGTATTATCGGAGGGTATAATAGGTAAGAGGGGGGGGGGGGATGGGGAGTAGTTAGGTGTAAAGGAAGGATCAAACATGGGCAAGATGGATGAGTGATTTGCAATCAGTCTGATTTCCTTGTCGTCTATTCAATTATTTTGGCAAACGGGTGTCTTTAAGAGCACAAACTATACACTACATATATATATTTTTTTTGAAACATGAGCACAAACTACATATCATAGTGTAGTTTTGGATCATTTGATAATTTAAGGGAAAAAGGTTTTTTAAAAAAAATTATTATTCAACTTCATTGAGTTGAGGTCATGAAATTAATGAAAAGAACTTTCTTTTTGCAGCACGCTTAATTGGAGGCAAGTACATATTCTAACCCTAAAGTGCTGTTATATGATTGCAGGCATGCTTTTGCAACAATGTCGTTTATATCAGAAACATTCATCTTCTTGTATGTTGGTATGGACACATTAGACATTGACAAGTGGAAGGAGAGCAATGCAAGGTATGTTTACATTGAACCTGTTTCCATTTTGTAGAATTCTGTTCCTTCTAATCTACGGTCATAATTCTAGTGAAAACCATACCAGTAGAATCTCGAGAGATGGCATGTACATAATGTTACAGACAATGTTGGTCAATGATATCTCAACCAAAACCAAACAAAATAAGCCTGGACCCACAAGAAATGGTTGTTTACATGGATCCCTACTGCTACAATTCAGCATGTAGAATTTATGCTAAAAACTCATCTTAAGATTTTGCTGGCTCTCTGCTAGCCCAGACAACCCTTCTCTAAATGGGTTTCGAGCTGGCATTAGGGAGAAAAGGCAATGATTGGAGTGGGAGCTCCAAATCACTCCCCATGATAAAAGAACAACAATTTTTACAACCATACATAGAAAAACATGTTATATAACAAATTCAACTATATATCATTGCCTACTTGGAATAGTATTGGGCATTTGGGCTGGCATTTCGGTTGGGTCAGTCTTTGCCCGTTTTACTCCATTACCAAGCTTCCAAAAATATTGTCGCCCAAACTTATCAGTATTGTTTGGTTTGGTTAGGCATAGTGAAGTACCTGATTTAGAGAGGATTCTCCCTATTGCAATTGTCTGCCTTATGGTATTTGCTTCAAATGGATCCAAAAAAATACTCCATAATAAATTAGCTGTATTACTGCCAAAACAAGAAGGGTGACCCTAGTAAAACATTTATATGATGATAAGAAATTCTTTGCAACTGCAATGACAAAAGACTAAACTTAGTGTTGTTTTCCAATTCAGTTTAGGAACTTACCTTGCTGTTAGTTCCGCGATGCTGTCTTTAATTTTGATTGGACGAGCAGCCTTTGTCTTCCCTCTGGCTAATATTTTAAATTACACAAAGAAGAACAGTGACAAAAAAATCAATTTTTCCACACAGGTATGTCTCAATATTTCTGTTCAGATTCCAATCTGTTTTAAGTCTTTTTTTCCTTTTTGGTTCTGACAACTTGCAACTTCAGTTTATTATATGGTGGGCAGGACTAATGAGAGGTGCAGTTACCGTGGCCTTGTCCTACAACGCGGTAAATATTCATCCTACGATCTATAGTAAAAATATGTACCTCTGTACCTATTTTTTTTTTAATGAAATTATATTACTGCAGTTTTCAGGTTCTGTAGAGGTATCAAATGAGAGATCACTGATGATCAGTTGTACTCTTATCGTTGTTCTGTTTAGTACTCTGGTCAGTTTTCTGCATATCCTCTTCATTTCTATATTTTCTTTGTGCGTGTGTTACACCAGATTTTTATCCAACATTGAATTGCATTGCATTTATATTATTCAGCTATTCGCCCTTACAATCTTTGTATATAACTTATATAAGTATCTAACTAGTTTAAGTAAATCCTGTTTCTTTGAAACAGCTGTTCGGAACTGTTACCAAGCCCTTGATTAGAGCGATTTTGGGAGCTCCAAGACATGCAGTTTCATATGCAAGTGATATACCGAGCCTTGAATATTTAGACATACCTTTCCTAGAAAGTCAGGAAAATCAAGAAAATCCAGAAAATCAAGAAACAAATCTGAATGGTGATGAAGAACCTCGTCAAAGAAGAGGAGGCTTCAGTTTGCTTATGAAATATCCTACTGGTGCCGTGCATCACATATGGAGGAAATTTGATAATAAATTTATGAGACCTGTTTTTGGCGGACGAGGTTTTGTGACATATGAACCAGCTTCGCCAACTGGTGCTGCTGATATAAGTCATGAGCAATAAATTTTGATTTAGAGTTCTCAGCTTCCTTTATTTTTTTCCTTTTACTAGTAGGGAAGATTTTGCAGAAGGAATAATGGAAAATACATCACAGGATTTGTTTTTTTTTGTATATTGTTGTAAATTGAGATAAACCTTATTTGTCGTGAACATTTTGGATGGAGTTCGAGATTGATATTGGAGTCATGGATGATATTATGTTAATAGAGGATGACCAGCATTTGAGGTTGTTGACATTTTATAATGATAGGTTACTTTGATCAAGGTTTAAGGGCGGGGGTGAGAATCGATCCCAGGATCTCCTGAAATCGGGAGGGAAGCTCTAACCACTTGAGCTATCCCTCACTCTCTATTACAATGTCAATGTGATTACGAAGTCGTGCAATGCCCATTGCAGTGGCATAAAGGCATAAAACCTTCATATTGCACGGACCATGCAATTTTGTTGAGTTACGACTTATGAGTAACAAAATATGTTCTTGACATCATACGCGTGCATTAGACCATAAGTCGCCCTAGTGTTGTTAAAAATATAAGGAAAAAATCATGATTACTGTACTTAACTAATGAGTAATGTGTATAAGTCAATGTAATTAGTGTTTATTTATTTTTTATGATTTTTAACTTTTTACGATATTAAAATATAAATTTAATGCTTATATGTAACCCTAAGGGCTATGTATAACATATATTTTTTTTTTTTTTTTTAACTTAAAGGCAATATTCCAAATTAAAACTTGCTTTTATTGGAGCTCATTCAAGTTTATTCAAGTTTATCACTATGAGAAACAAATCTTGTTTATCTAGGGGTGATGTCGTCATTTCCTTTGAAAAAGTAAGGACAATTATGACAATTGCTTATAAGTATTTTGGTTAGACGTTAAACACTGAGTTGTTGAACGTTAACTTTGAATTTTGTTGACTTTTCTCTCTCCTCAGTAAATTTCTATGTCCTCCTCAGTTCTATAAATTATTTCTCTCTCTCCTCGGCAAATTGTTCCTCTCTCTCCTCTGGAGTATCACCATTATCACCATTGGAGTACTTGGGATGAGTATGGATATTTACTTTTAAATTTTTAATATAAGCCTATATGCCATCCCCAACAAAGCATCAAGCAAAACAAAACAATCATAATACAAGTTACAATTAAGAACTTGAACCTGGGTAATCCACCATTGGAGCGAATTACCAATTTTGGGGCATAAGGATGAAGTTGGAAATGGTGTCCTTTGACACAGACTGTCAGTTAGGACCCGAGCCACCGGTGTGTAAGTATGTCATTAGTCCCGACCTCCAATGGCAGAAGTAGTAATGGGAGCTGACTCTTCTGCTCCCACTGTTTGCGCCACCGTTGTCCAAGCTTCTACCGTCTTCTATGACATGGTTGAAGTTCTACAAATTATGGAAGGCATGGTTGAACTTCTACAGAGCACCTTTCTGAGTTGGAAGTTGTTTTTGGGCGTACACGTGGGAGTCGATCTTTGCATCTGTTCAACTTCTTCTCTTATTTAATTATTCTCTCCCCTTTCTCTTCCGACAAAGTTACTTACTTGGTAAAAAGTTAACCTCTAATTGAATTTTCCATTTAATCTACCGTTAACCATATAGCTGGCATCTGAGCACATGGACATTCTTTTTCAATTTTTTTACGGATTTCAACGCAAGTATTTAAAAGATCAAAGAGTCCAAACCCAGACCTTAATTTTAATTGCGGTAGTAAGAGATCGAGAAGCTAAGCAGCAAGCCATTGATGAGTAAAACATTGAACTCCGCCATTGACCTTCTGTTAATGAAAACTCGAATTTCGAGTAAAACCATTGATGAGTAAAACATTGAACTCCGCCATAAACAGCTCGAATTTCGAACTCCGACATTGAACTCTGCCATTGATGAGTAAAAGCTTGAATTTCGAGCTCGATTTGCTTTTGATGGAGAGATGATTCTTGAACTCCGCCATTAACAGCGTCAGCCACCTGCTTTTCTTCGCTTCCTTCTTCGCTTTCTCTAATCAACAAAATACTAAACAATTCAAATTACATGATTTCAGCAACTAATAATGTGAGTTGCAAAGAAAGATGGTAATTGTTGAGGAGAAAGAAAGAGAAGAAGAAAGGAGGGGTTTTAATACCTGACCATTATACTCTAATTTCTGATATATTTAATCTATTTCTGATATATATATAACATATTTTCTGACGATTTTAAATTTATAATTTAATATCTGACCATTATAATCTAATTTCTGACTATTATTATCTAATTTCTGACCATTAAGATTTGTTTTTTCCACAATTTTTTTTTTGTTTTTTGTTTTTTTTTTGTATGACTGAACTCACGTGAATCCGTTCTACACAAAACTTTTACTTAAAAGATTGCCATTTGATCAACATATTTCGTTTATCATTTTGATCAATTGGGGCTCCCTTCTTTTATTGAAACTTACACAAAGTACTCCATAGTTAATGATTTAATCTTATTGATTCGCCATTATATTTATCTGTCTTGAAATTATTTTTATAAAATATTATTTAAATAACGGGATCGGACAGGGGTTAACGAATGAAAAAACAGAGGAGCAGGGGCGTAGCGAGGTAGCAGATCCTTCCTCATTAAACCCTCTCCCTTTCTCCCGCAAAACCCCTTCTCCCCTCTCTCTCTTCCCCACCATTTTCCAATCCAAAAACTCTAATTTGATTGAAAATGGCGCTTTTACGATCTAATGTTATTCGAAATCTATCAAAATTGGTCCACCTTCAACAACATTCGTTTGCGTAAGAATTATTTATTTATTTTTTATTTTTTTCATAATATTTTGCACATTTTATGTATTTTTAGAGTTCTTACTTCTAGTTGACTCATTTTTTATTCGGAATTATTAATTTATTTGATCTATTATTCAATGTTTTTGCAGTCTGGGAAGCTCAAGAACTTACGCTAATGCTATTATTAACGGTACCAATTCACAATTCTATGCTTATTGTTGCTGCCGTTGTATCATAAATTAAAATTTGATTTTGATGCTATTTTGATAAATTTTTTATTTGCATTAGTTTAGCTGAAGATTATTATACCTTGTTTGTTTGTATTGTGGGAGTTATTCGATTGATGAATAGGGAATGAGAGATTATTGTGTAAGATTAAATTTTTATGTGTTCAATGAGATGGGAACGTAGAATTTTGATCTATTAATCAAAGTCGTTATTAGAGTGCAATGTCATTGTTGGATAAGTACTTACGTAGGCAGGCGTGATGGACAAGGTGGCTTTCCTAAGAAACTTTGTATAGGGTTTTAATGTGAACTTTTGAAAATGAAATTGAAGAAAAAGCTGATCATATTCTCGAGGTAGGAAGGGGTAGAGAAACACACCTCTGCGTCTTAAATTAAGGCCCCGTTTGGTTTAATGTAAAACATTTTCAATGGAAAATTAGTTTTCATGGAAAACATATTTTCAAGGAAAAACATAATTGCTAATTAGTTTTCCTTTGTTTGGTTGCATACAAGAAAAGTCCAAGAAAAATAAAAAATAAGAGTGGAAATGTAAGGATGAATGAGAGGGAAGTAAAAAAAGGAGGTAAGGAGGAGAGAGGAAAATGTGGCTTCCCTTGTTTTGGGAGGGAAATGTTTTCCATCATTAAGGATGGAATTTTCCACCCTTGGAAAAATTGTTTTCCACCCCTTAACAAACCAAACAAAGGAAAATGGGAAAAAAATGGAAAATTCATTTTCCATGAAAACCTTTTACATCAAACCAAACAAGGCCTAAAAGTTAAAATATAAGAACCGTTAAGCGTAAACCTTATTGATATTCTGTTTCACTCTTAGAATTCGAATGGAAATAAGGAGAAAGAATAATACTATGTACAAAGTGTTACCCTTATTTTTTGTTGGGTATGCACATGGAAAGGAATACCTTGTATCGAATTGGGGATTAAAGTGGGAATCATTTTGGTTACCATAGGGATGGAAGAGGTAACAAATGGTGGGTAATGGCTACCCCTAAGATATGGAGCGTGTTACCAACGTATCAAACAATAGGTATTGGAAATGGTTAATTGATTTCATTATGTGCACTACTCAAAATTTCAAAAAAAAATCTATATCAAACATGCTCTTAGTGGGACATTTTTGCAGCCTATAAAAATTTATATGCTCCCGTGTAGTTACGAAGCTTACAACCATTCTGTTCTATTTTGCTCCTTGTTGGGTATGTAAATATATGCAAATACTGAAAACGGATGATATAATTGTGACTTCATGAGATGTATTTCCTGTCAAGTTGATAATATGCTTACATGATTTTGTTTGGTGTTATTAGGGCCTCAAGATAACTTATGCAGGACAAATTCTTTTTTATACAAGAGTCAAACCTATCCACTGGCTCATGGCAGAGCAGGGGTGCTTCGCTCTACAATGGTAGAAACCTCATACTAAACAGTATTCTTTTGCTGTCAACTGATAAAAATAATGCTTTTTATCTATAATTTGTCATAGTGTCTTACATGATCATAGCTTGATTTACAATATGTGACATTTCTCTCATCCTTAATATCAGGCTGCTGAGATGTCAGTGTTTTTATATGAAGCTAGATCATTATCAACACAAGCAAAAGCCCCTCATCAAGCACGACAGATGGTAATTTGCCTGGCTAAACTTTTTCATAATCTTAGTGAGGTTCATTTTAATTTACTAAATGTGGCACTAGTAAACTGTACATCTTTCTCTGCTACCTTGTTTGATTGCATGCTCTGATGCACGGAAACGTTAAAATCCACCAACATATTGTTTCGGAAACGTTCACGTTTCGAAACGCCTATGAGAGTTTCTTTATTTTGCGAAATGTTTCGCACAATTTGGAACTTTGGAAAACCTTTGGGAAACTTACTTAAAGGAATAGATAAGTCCCCTTGCTTTGCCTTCTTTGCCGCCTCGTCGAAAGAATGTCAAGGCAAGTACCATCGACCCATTTTACTGATTTGAGGTTGATTTTGGTTTTAATTTGTAAAAAAATAAAGAATTCCTCAACCTTATTGTGATTGACCTCTGCTTGACTGCGTAGTACGGAGTAGAAGATTAATTTTGGTTTTTGTTTGCAATTGAAGTGTCTGCATACATTCTTTCTTGAGAGGAACAGAAGGATATTGAAGGTGGAGAGTGGGGACATGTAAGAAAAGAGGAAAATTTTAGTTAACTCCGTATTGATTGCTACTTTGTATTTGTTTGGCAGCATTTTTTTTTTATTATTTAATTTTTTTGGTTTTTATTTATGACAATTTGGGTTTTTATTTTTTTATTTTTTTTTATGTGTTTTATTAATTTATTTTTTCATGTCCCCGTTTCCCAATATTTTAAAATTTCCATTTCCTCAATTCCCCGTTCTTCCGTTTTCGTGCAATCTAGATTGCATGTAACTCTAATTTTGGCATTGGAAGAAGAATTTGTATTAAATTTCGTCCCTTTTTTCTTTTAATATATTTATGAAGCATCTCTTGGATGTTCCTAATGCAATCCTTTACTATGTTGGTAAGAATTCACTATAGTAACTTTGATTCAAACAAGAATTTGAGTTGCAACCCCTTCGTGAACAATAATCCATATTATGTCACTTTAGCTACTTTCACACATTAAGAATTTAAATAGATACAACTGCTGAAATTGCAATGATAGATAAATGATCTATAATCCTACATTAATACTATAAATTAATTTTCCATTAGCAATGCTGTAGGATTGAAGCATTACTTATAATTTTGGATTGAAAAAAGTTGGATTAAACTTTAAATTGAAGGGAGTACAATATTGTGGACCTAGTAAATAAAGTTAAAATGTGCACCTCTATGTGTGTTTGTGCACGTGCCTTAGGTACTCCTATTTCTTTGAGCCATATACATTTCTTCTAATTATGCAACTCTCAACTATGTATGTAAGTGATTTAACCTGTTGTTCAACTTATTCCTAATGTCTATTTTTGTTATACACGCTGATGCCAAAGATAATTATTCATCCATCTTTGCCTCTCTGTTATTTGAATATTTAAACTTCTCGAAATTTTCTTTGTCTGCTAATATTGAGTGGTCTTTTGCCCATCTTATTCTTTGGTTGTTTTTGGCAAGATTCTATCTAAAGAAAATTTAAATGTTTTTGCTTCATTATTCATGCAGGGGGCCATGCAAGTTGCAATGCTTAGCCCTGGATTTATCTATGAACCATATGGGCCTCGAGAACCAATCTCAATCTTGCAAAGGTGGGTTTTTTTTTTTTTTTTTTTTTTTTTTTTGAAATTCTCTTCCATCTCACCACAGAGGTCCATTTTGATACTTTTTGAAGTTTAAGAAAATATAATTGACTTCCATATCATTCATCCTTCAACCTGTCATACTGATGTTGATTATGAAAATAATATCAGTATTGTTAATAGAAGGATATTTTCATTTGATCATTATGCTTGTGAGTTGTGGATATAGTTTTTATGCCATATGCCATATGGCATCGTATCGTAATCAGTTAATTGTAGTTCTTAACTTGGTGTTTACTTTGTTCTTTTTTTATACAATTGAAGGTTCATGGTATCTTGATGCACAACTTAAACAATTAATTTCTACTGTTAATTTCTCCAATCACAAACCCATGACAATCTTCAAATGATTATATGTTGAAGTTATAAATTGAGATGAATCTAACAATGCCCTACATGGCTATAATCTTCCCTACGTAAAATCACAATATATGGTCAAATTATTGTAAGTGAATAGTGTCAAAAACTCAAAAATCCAATTTTTGATTTTTATTTTTTTAATTTTTTTTTTATTATTATTTTTTTTTTGACAGGCAATTTTTGAAATGAAAAATATTATTCGGAGGAAATATATGCTTTATTTGCCTTTTGTGCTCTTAGTTTCCTATAACAAGTTCTGTTTTGTTGTTATCCTCTATCTGGCGAATTAGACTTAGAATTTTTTGATTTTTTTTTTTAATTTTTTTTTTCTTATGGTGGGAATTCTTCTTCGTGTTTCTGTTTTAGATGGTTCACTAGAAGAGGATGGAGAAGAACGAAGGAAGACATGATCATAGAGGTAAACTTTTTCATAATTTGCGTATTAATTTTCCCCAAGGGCTCTGTTCTTGCTCTGAAACAAGTGTGGTCTTCTTCTGTTAATTGTCTTAGCAAGGCTGATCTTTCGTAATTCTCAATGTGCTCTCACTTTGGTATATTCTTCGACTTTGCTTTATCTTTGCAGTTTGTTGGATTTATGTTGTAAATATGATAAAGCGGTTTCTCAAAATACACGGGGGTAGATTAGTCTTGTATGGTTTACATTCTTAGTTGAACTATCCCAAGCGCTTTAGTTTAAAGGAATATATCATTAATCAGACAGATGATTTAGAATAATGGGTGGAGAGTGGAGACAAGGAATATATCATTAATCTCAGTGTTATTTTAAATTTTTAATAGAAAATTAGATGTGAAAAGGAGATTGTGGATCCAAAAGTAAGGTAGGATATAATAGATAGTTAGTATGACCATACCAAAAAGGACTTCAAACTATTTTGTGATGGATGAAATTGGAAAGTGTTCGAACTATTTTGGGATGAAGGGAGTTGTCATTATTATGTGTATGAGACACAGGATTGTGACATTGATCTTTTCATATTATTACAGATAAGGGTTAACAATTTAAATAAGAGCTACTGAGTCTATATTACAGCTTACATATAGTTTGAAGTAGTTCACCACATTAAAGCCGATACATCTTGATAAGTTTAGATAAGGAGTTTTAAGGTGAAAAGAATGAAGCCATGTCCTACACTCAATTATTCAGATCTCCTTTGTAGTCAGTTACAGATATTGTTCATTGTTGTGTGCTGTTTATTTGCAGATGAAAAGCGCCTATGCTATCTCCAAATTGAGGAAATTTGGGTATTCGAAACAGGGGTTCTATAAAGAGGCATTTGAATTATATAAAGAGGTATGCCTTATACGGTAACAACTTTTGACTTGCCTTTTACTTTCCGGTCCTTGAGAATTTTAGAACCAACAAATGGGTGTTTCAAGTTCCTATGGATTTTAAATGGAATGAACAAAAAGCACATATGTACTATTTTTTTCTTGATCTCTGTAAACCGTCTAGATCTAGTAGCAGGATTCACAACCTTTGTAATTATATTGAAAATAAATAAATAAATAAATATTCAATGTTAGAATCTTGTTAATTTCAACAAATACTAATAATGTAAAGGAGAGTTAGTACTAATTTTTGTTTTATAAGGCTAAAAAAAGGAGTATAGGCATTATCGTTATGAGGTCATTACAAACCCAATCACATTGGGTGATTGGGTTGATCTGTATTTTTACTGCTAATAGATTATTTTAGCTTGTTTTCTAATGTTTGTGGTGGCTAATGTCTGATGAAGCAACCAATTGTTTTATTGATACGGGTATTAGCATCAATTAATAATTATGGAGCTTCGTTTTTCTTTTTAAGTTAGAAAGCAGGTAACACAGCTGACTAGGTTGTGGGTTGCATCATATGTCTGGATTGTTCATATATTTTTGCTGAGCTGACTCTGTATCTAAGTTGTTCTTCTTTCATAGATAAATGCATTCCTTGCACATGGTGATAAAACTTCATTGAGGAAATTGGTTACGGAAAACATGTTCTCAGTAAGTTTATAATCATTTACAGTTTTCCTGAGAGATCAGTCCTTTGACTTATTTACAAATCTGATAAGGCTTAATTCATACAGGTCCTGAAAAATGATATTAAAATGAGAGAAACAATGTGGAGCAGTGTCTATTGGGAATTGGTTGAGCCAGCTATTAAAATCCGAACTCTGCGAGCTAGACTGGCAAGTTTCTATCATTTCACACTCAATCGGTTAAAATGTGCTTCATAAAATATTGCATTGAGCTTGGAAAGACAAATTTCACAATATGAAGTGCGAATCAAATACACTTTTTCTAAAGAAACACATTTTTTGCTTTGCTGTGCTTTTCTTCTTCTGTTAATTGTGATATTTTAACATGAAGACCTTCATTATCTTTTGGAATACTCTAGCCTCTCAACATTCATACAACTTTATTTTGATTTTTTCCTTATTGAGTGGCTTCTGTCTTATGGAAAAAAGGCTGTTACTAAATGAGGTAAGATTAATTCCTCTTTGAGAGTGGGGTGATTAATCAGAAGGATGTTTATCTAAGAGTTTCAAGAAAAGAAAAAAGAAAAAAAAACAAAGACATGGAGGTTGGAAGTCTAGGTAATTTAGGGTCTGTCAAGAATCAGGAGTTGTGTAAGGTCATAAAGATGAAAGGGGGATGGATCGCTCTTAAGGACTGCACCCACTACAGTCTCAGAGAAGTGGGGTTTGAAATCTATTATGGATCCACAAATTTAATTTATAAATCCTTGTATCAGAGAAGTGGGATTTGTCTATTGTAGGTCCACAAAGGGTGGGGCCTTTAGTGAAAAGTAGATTTATGCTGCTGGTTTGGCATAGTATTTGATAGGGCAAATTCACCAATATCTGCATCTTTAAGGGTTGTTTCCCTTAAGGATGATACCCTCCAAGAATTGGTGCTCTGGAATGAATAATATTTAGGATATTGATGGTTACCTTCGTAAGATTTCAATTGTAAAGAAGAAAAATTTTGTTTTTTTTTTTTTTTTTTTTTACTTTTATGTAGTTTTTTTTTCTTAGGTAGTCATATAGTTGTATGTAAAGTTGATTACTTTTATATTTCCATGACAAGAAGGTCTCCCTCTACTGTTAAGCTTCTGTAGTTTTCCTGATGAGGGATATTACTATCTTGATGTCCCTTCTAAGGCTATTTAGCAGTTGATGTCTTCTCCTAACAAGTATTTCTTAGCTTTTGCTGTATTTGATGAGGTTGCCGCAAATAAGGTATTTCCCTAATCACAAAAAGATGGGTAAAAAATTACTTATTTCGGATATCCCAATGTATTGCCAAATTTTCCATTGAGTAATTTCATGGTAATATGGCAAATAGAGTACTTAAGGGAAGGGTTTTCTACTTAGCTAATCGATGTAGCTCGTGTTTATTGTAGCAAACGGATGATCTATTCCTCCTGCTTGGCTTTGTATTTCATTCTCTTTAATTATATGTCATCTTTCTTTAGCTACCTTTAGCTGTGGTTGCTTTACCTAAAATGCATTTGTGGCCTTCATAATGACTAAGGAAGAATAATGTTGTTAATTCTTTTAATTTTTTATTTCATTTGTTTGTTTGTTATTTTTTTTTTTTTTTTGGGTGTGGAAGCTGGTTACTTCAGCCTTGAGGATGTTGTTTAGTTCGTGCATAGAGTTCCGGCTGGAGATGCATTATCTATTCTTGGTTTCGTGTAGAGGAGTATTGCGTGGGAAATGTGTTATCTTATCTTGATTTTATGTCTAGATTGGTAGATTATATTCACGTAACAAATTAAAGTCGAGGCTGATTAGTGGAGTTGGTCTGTAATCTGTTACATCCTTTTCTTTTTTGGGTAAAGATTTTTTTGTAAAAGGGGAGGGTGAGGGGGTGAGGAAGTGTGGCTGCAACTTGTGTCTTGGCTCCCATATCTATTCCAGGATTACTGGGATTTATCATTCCAGATCTTGGTTCACTTCAAATATTATTCATCAAGTGATGTTAGACTTAGTCAATTACGTTGCGTTCGAGTCTTTACTTTCTTGATCCCCCCCCCCCTTTTTTATTTATTTAAAATACGTTCTGCATAGTTTTTTTCTTTCTACTTCCCCTTCTTGGAGCAGAGTTGAATATATTCTTTGAAGTTTTAATTTCAGAGAGTACTATGAAGTTTGAAGCTCCGGTGTTATCCTAAGTTACTTAAATTACGTTGCTCTTGAGCCTTTGTTTCTGAGTTCTGACATAATGGAAGGGTTTGGATGTCCTTTTTATATAGGGTATCTCTCATGTAGCTCTTTACATTGCTGTTTACGTTAAGCTCCTTATTTAAGTGCCTTTGTTCTTTGTCTATTTGGAAATTAGTAGTGCCACATAGTTTGAAAGCATGTTGACTGTTGTGCCTTATTTGAGAGGGAAAAATATAATTAAACTAGCTTTTTATTGCTTTGTGACTATTCTAGAGATGGTCTCTTGAGCCTTCAAAAAAAAAAAAAAAAAAAAAAAGAGATGGTCTCTTGATGCTCTTGTAGAAGTAGGCTGCCTTGTGGCTGTGTTGTTTAGAAGCTGTGGTCTTTGCTGTAGCATAATTTCCTTATGCTAGTAAAAACAGCTAAGTAAATTTTTCTAGTGCAGAAAATATATATAATTAAATATTGAGGTTCAGTCTCCATTTTTGTTCAAGCAATATTTATTTAACCTATTTTTGAAGTGAATCTTATCTGTTAATATTCTGATTCCAGATTGGTGTTGACCGCAATGACCTTAAGAAGGTTTTCATACAGCTCACCCTTGAGTTCCTTACAAACCAGGTATTCTTCGTTTCAATGGAACACCTCAGTGGTATCTAGTTAACTGCTGCAAGTTGCCTTTTGTTTAATGCTGATTAGTTTTTCATATATGCTCAATTAAAATATGCTTTCAGCTAAATCACTAATTGTAGTGCTATGCCCGTAAGAAGGGAATGCGTGCTAGTTTTAAAAGATGCTATATGCTCTGTTCAAAAGGTTGAATGTAAATGCCATAACAGTGTTTCTATAGCACAAGTTTTTGGTGAGACTCTTGAAATATAAAGAGAGTTGAAGAGATACACATGAAATATCGAAATGTCAACTATGGAGGTGTTTGGTAAATGGGAATTGAGGGTGGGATTGGTAATTTTAATCCCAAAAAATTCCCTTGTTTGTTAGATGGGTTTGGGAATAGAGAAGGGAATGGGATATATCATACATGTTTTAATGGATATGAACAGAATGTGACTAAAGTAGGTTTATAAATTCATGGGATTCAGCTAACCTAAAACTCCATTCTTCCATGTTGTGATTCTTGTGAAATCCAATTTGGTTTCCCCTCCCCCCCCCCCCCCCCCCCCCCCCCCCCCACCCCCTCTCTTTTTTATTTTCTCTGGCATTGCACCAAATGCGCTTTTAACGTGATTACTGGATTTTTCTTATCTGTTTCCCATTGCAATTGGAAGTTGATTGAGATGAATTTCTTGCAGAAGTTTGAGGCCTATAATTCTGAAGGCGCTGCTGTTGCTGGAGATAAAAATAAAGAGGTAGTGTTGCGTGCTTCATCTTGATATCATGGCCAATTGACTGTCAAATATTGATTTTCATAATATATTATGTGGTGGTTCTTGATTTTTTTTTTTTTTTTTGAAAATTCTTCAACAACCGCATGGTAATATTTGGCTATACTTCTCATTTAAATTTTTTGTGATTACATTAGAAGATTATAGATATGGAGTCATGGAGACATTGAAATATTAGACGCAAATCTGCATGTATCTGAACCGAACTTGTATAAATACAAAAAAAAATAATCCTTTTAAATTTGTATCTGGATGGTCCAATTATCCAAAATTATTTTGAATGGTTCAGTTATATCTAGAAGATTATCGCTTTGAAATAAACTGAATAGTAATTCTGACAAAATTTGTCTTTAACACTGGTACATATGTATCAAGGCCTGCAATATGAAATGTTGTTATCAAGAAACTCAACTCTGCTGTTACATGAAGTTTTGTACCATCTTGCTCATTCAAACATTTACTGCTGATTCTGATGTTCGAGTAGGTACTTGTTCGTGACATATGGGTATTTGAGAAGTCACTCTTTCACCCTGGAGCATATTGGTGTCTCTGTGGACGAATTCCTCCTCCTAAATAGATCTTAGTAGTTAGACTTGATTGTCCTGTAATGTACAGTTGCAAGGCAAATTTTGCTTCTGCTAAAATTTTGCAAGTTGAGCATGTGTTATTGTTTCACAAAGTATCTTTCTAGCTTTGTTATTGGCATACACCCATGGATGTGGGTTTCAGGCAAAAGTTATACGCTCTTTGTCACCGATATTTCTAACCAAATTGTAAAAATTATGGATATGTGAGATTATTTTAGTGGTTCAAATGTTCTGCATTTTCTTATGGCATAAATTGCGTTTTAATGTTGAAGTTTCAGTTACACATGGAAACTGGCTGAAAAAAGAGAGAATGTTTCTTCTTTAGATAACCAAAACAGTGGGGTTTTCATCCAAGAAAAGAATCTCTTCTACCTTTGTTTTCACTTGCACTCCACTTTTGCTAGGGGATACCATGTTTTCACATAGGCTACCTACCTTCTTTGTTATTCAAACGCCTCTCATACGACGTAAGAAATGGTTCAAAATGAGCAGCAGCTTCAATCTCTTGGAATCTGCCACAGATTGTTCTGCTTCATCATGAGAAACTTAGCTGCGCAAGCCCTTAAACCTGTGACCTTGGGCCCTCCGGCTCAAATCCAGCAAACCCGAATGACAAGTTGGCCTGTCATTGATCGACAGGAAATGAATTCTCAGCGTGTTGATTCAATTAATGGAGCTGAAGATTCTGATATTTTGGCTTCAGTTGAAATTGAAGATGAAACTTCTAGATTGCTTGGTGCCTATGATCAAGGAATAATAACAATAGAATTTGTAGGTGAAACTAAAACTAAAGCTCCAAGAAAGATGGTTAGCATCAAAGATGAACCTGAAATTATAAATGAGAGCAAGAGAAGGAAGAAGAACGAGGCGACAGAGAGAAGAAACGACGCTGAGTTAAGACCTCTGAAATCCATTCTGAAGGTGGGTTCAAATTTGTCCAAGACTTCAGCTCAGGGTGGTAATGGCAATCCTGTGAGGAAAGCCACATTGGACTAGTCATCTCTCACAACATTAATAAATTGTTTAATTCTGTACATTTCCTGCATAATGAAAGAGTATTATTGGCAAAAGATTATAGTAAATAATAGCTGTATCCTTCTTATTATCCTATCCATTATGGTATTAATGATAATTTCTAGCATGCTCTTTTATTTATTTTTTTTATTTTTAAAAAATACCATGCATATTGTTAATCAAAATTAATATCTTTAAACTTCTTCTTAAAAAAATAAAATAAATAAATAATGCATTACAGGAAAGCAACAAGCATATTGTTTAATTTATTTTTGTCAATGCCTTTGTTGGTCATTTTACTGGTTCCCTTAAAACAAAAAATAAATTTAAATGACAAGCAATAGAAATTGAAATGCTACAATTATTAAGCAACAAATAAATATTTATTAAATAGTTTCACAATACGGAGTATTACAATTCGGTAATTAAATCAATTAATATACTTAGTTTTTCTTTTACCGATGCTCTTCTCCTTAATAATATCTTTTGAGTACACAATGAGGCAAAGAGTGTAATCCAATCATACATGTGCCTCCTAACGCCATGTACGGGCCATACTAGTATAGCTTGTGTAACATTTTGTGAATGGGTAAAGAAAAAGTTGTGTCGTGTCGAGCTTGTGTTAATCTTTCATAAATGAAACCCATACATAACCTTGCCCATGCGTTGTATTATACATTGTGCTCAGTCCTACTTTGCTAATGGGTTATTTAGTACTAATTTATACTCCTTTTGTAAATTGGTCAAACATAAACTAGTCGACATGAAGGTCACCTATGTGCTCATGTCAAGTCAATGCCTGAAAATAATCTTCATATATCGTTCATAACTCATCAATGCATCTCTTATGCCAAGTTTGTGACGGGATAATTTTAGACCAAACTATTTTCTTGTCGTGCCTAACCAAACCTCTCTGCCGGCCGGCTTCACTTGCCCATCTGTAATGCCTCCATTGGCCAATTGACCAATGTAAAACTCTCCTTAAAGCATAAGCAGTGACGCTTTGTAGCAAGAACTAAAACGAATATGGGAAGTGGATGCTCCACTCTCTCAACTCCAACTCCTAATCACACCCTTTTTTATTCTCTTTCCTCAACTCTTCCAATCAATAACAAATCCAATTCTTTCAACAATCTCCCAACTTCACCATTTTATTCCCATCTCCCCAATCTAAGTAACACATCCATGTCTCAATTTTCATCTCCATCTTCTTCCATTCTTCCTCTAAATTCGACCAAATCCGATTCATTTGAAACCCAACAACAAATTTCTGAAAAACCCATCTTCAACCCTCATGATATTAATCCCAATTTGCTTCAAAAATTGGTTTATGATGCCCTGGTTTGGTGTTCTCTTCATGGGCTTCTCGTTGGTGATAGAACTGCTAAGGTTTGTGATTGTTTTCCATAAGTAGATATAGAAAGCATTTAATTACACAAATTGACGCGCGATTTTGTCATCTGTAAATTTCCAACTTAATACCATATTGTGAAATGTATTATAATTTAGCAATACCCTTTATACTTTTGAATCGGATTTACTTTTGAAGTTTGTATTTTCTCTTTTGTTTATTCATTTAGCTTAATTTAGACTTTCCTGGGATTTTGTAAACATTAATGTTTGGAACAAAGTAAAGATGCAAGTCAAATGCTTATGAAGATATATGCTTTATGACTAAGAGAAGGAATAATGGATTTATGAATGTTGATTTTGGTTTAATTAGACTATTAGAGCTATTATTGGTTTAAAGGGCAGTTGGGTATTTGTAATTTGGTTGTTAAATGGAAGTTAAAAAATTTTACTGTTGAATTTTGGTGGTTATGTTGTAGAAATCAGGGACAGTTCCTGGGGTTGGTATGGTTCATGCCCCAATTTCTCTTTTGCCTGCCTCATTTCCTGAGGATCACTTCAAGCAAGCATGTGAATTAGCTCCTATTTTCAATGAGCTCTTTGATCGTGTCAGCTTGGATGCAAAGTTTCTCCAGGACTCGCTGTCAAGGTTCGTTTTCGATGTCCCCACATTGTAGATGTTGTGCATTGCAAATTTTGCATTCTTGTATGTACATCTTGTTGAAACCAATCAGATTAGTTCTTTTATCATTAAATTTAGGTAGCAAACTTGAAGAGTTACTTGAGTTGCCCGCTTTGGGACAAGAATCAGGTGTACATATGAATTTGAGTAGACTTAGCTATTTAAGTTGCTCACTTTGGGACAAGAATCAAGTGTACATACAAATTTAAGTGCTCTAGGACAAGGATTTAGGTGGGGCACATATGGAGTATAGGCTTAGCTAGTTGCTTACTCTAGGACAAGCATTCAGGTGCACATATGGATTTGAGTATAGGCTTAGCTATATAAGATGCTCGCTCAGGGCAAGAATTAAGTGTACATATAGATTTGAGTATAGGCTTAGCTATATAAGGTGCTCATTCAGGAACAAGAATCAGTTGTACATATATGGATTTGAGTATCCGCTTAGCTATCTTCCTAGCAAACTGGAAGAGTTACTTGAGTTGCCCGCTTTGGGACAAGAATCAGGTGTACATATGAATTTGAGTAGACTTAGCTATTTAAGTTGCTCACTCTGGGACAAGAATCAAGTGTACATACAAATTTAAGTGCTCTAGGACAAGGATTTAGGTGGGGCACATATGGATTTGAGTATAGGCTTAGCTAGTTGCTTACTCTAGGACAAGCATTCAGGTGCACATATGGATTTGAGTATAGGCTTAGCTATATAAGATGCTCGCTCAGGGCAAGAATTAAGTGTACATATAGATTTGAGTATAGGCTTAGCTATATAAGGTGCTCATTCAGGAACAAGAATCAGTTGTACATATATGGATTTGAGTATCCGCTTAGCTATCTACTCCTTTATTTAATCCTAGTGTGAAATGCCATCATATTGGTGAGTCAGATGTATGTAGTTTTGGTTGAATAGGAAATACTGTAGATATTTCAAGTTCGTTGAGATTCATGGACAAGTAATCATTCACATGTACGCCACTCAGCCTAGCTTGTCTCTGTGTATCGGTAATTAAAAGGGGATGTATCATTATTGACTATAAAGGATATATAATCCGTACATACCCCTTGTGACTAAGGCTTAGTGAGAGTCCTGCTCATTTAACCTTATATAGAAGAAGTAGGAGGAGCTGGGATGGTAGGTCAAGTTAGATTTGTTCTTCTGTAGACTGTCTAATTATTTCAAACTTTTTGCTTGGACATTATGTTTATAAGTCTGGGTTTATTGTTTTTTTTTTGCCTCTACTCAGTTTATTGATTTGGATTAGCAGGTTGTGCTTGTGAAACTGAATATTCAGCTGTTTCATATTACAGAACCAGAAAAGTAGATGAATTCACATCGAGACTGTTAGATATTCACTCCAAGATGATAGACATCAATAAGATAGAGGTGATTTTATTTTTTCCTGTATACTGTTATAAACAGGAACTACAATTATATTGGTTACCAGCGCGGGAAAAAATAATGGTTATACCATTGAGAAATTTGAGGTCTAATCTGATTCGAAAATAAATATAGGAAATACGTTTGGGCTTACATCGATCAGATTACATGCTTGATGCACAAACAAAATCACTTCTCCAAATAGAGTTCAACACAATCTCATCTTCATTTGCTGGGCTAATGTGTCTTGTCAGTGACCTTCACAGGTAGTATGAATTCCTGCTTCCCCTGTTGATTACATAATGTTTACTAATTACTAAATTTTAACTAAAGGGCCCTGAATTAATTCAAGTATACCGCCGTCTGCTAATGGTATATGCATTTCTTTTAGTTACAAAAGTAGTTCTAGCTGACAGATGGGAGTTTAAAATGTAGGAACTTGCTTGGTCTCTATGGAAATCAGCTTCAATTAGACTTCAGAAAGGTCCCTGAAAATGCTTCTGTTCAACAATTCGCTAAGGCATTAGCTGAAGCTTGGCGAGAGTACAATAATCCAAGGTTAATTTTCAATTTAAGCTCTTCTGTTCCTGATCGCACGTGCTCTTGTATAACCTATGGAACTGTTAATTTCTGCAGGGCTGTTGTTCTTGTTGTGGTTCAAGCTGAGGAACGCAACATGTATGACCAGCTTTGGCTTTCAGATGTATTGAGGGAGATATATCCTTTTTCTTTGTCTAACAAAACATGTGTAAAGATGGTTGTTGTAAAGCTCTCATTATTCAAGCGCATTCAACTTAGATGGTTTATTAACAGCGTAATCACATTTCTGTGTTATTTTGAATGGTCAACCAATTGCGTCTAAACTATTAAGATGGTGAGGGTGAATATTTGAACTGATATTCACAAACCATTTCATGGCTTTTTATACTGTCATGATATCATTGTGCCTCTGTTTTTCTTAACTGTATAATACACATGGTGTTACATCTATCAGGAAGACGTTAGCAGAAATTGATGCAGAAGGCAAGTTACTGCCTGACGGAACACTTGCTGTGTATGTCATCACATGGACACTATGCCTTTCTTCTTCCTCTTCCTGCTTTGAATTTCCTTACTATTACTACAGGAGAAGGGTGTGTTGAGGTTTTTATCACTTTAAATTTCTAACGTGAATCATTGAACACTTGCAGAAATGGGGAGGCAGTTGCAGTGGTGTATTTTAGAGCTGGTTATTCGCCTACTGATTATCCTTCTGAGTTGGTTAGTTCCACTGCTGCAATTTATGATGCTTCGTTGCATATTTTATGAGAAATTTATTGCTCTCTGTCTATAATTTGGTGCCTGCTGTATGCAAGAATATGTCAAAACCCCTGAGCAACTATAAATGCATAATTAGAAGAAGATTTTTTTTGTATCACTTTGAGGGTGAATCATCAACAGCTAGCAAGGCATAGCTTGCGATATTTTAGGGGTCAGTTTTATTGGATAAAAAATGTTTCCTTCTGATCTGTTTATTACTTGCCGACTCTTACCCATCACCTAACATTGAAATTAATTCTAACTATGGATCAGCCACAGGCTGCCACACTTCAGTTCTAATGTTATAGTAGATTATGCTTTGCAGGAATGGAGAGCTAGGCAATTGATAGAGCAGTCATGTGCTGTGAAGTGTCCGTCTATTGCATACCATTTAGCAGGTACCAAGAAGATTCAGCAGGAGCTTGCAAAACCCAATGTGCTTGAAAGGTAATTCTTAATTTTGATGCACATGCTTAACTCAAATTGAATCCTTGTGTACCTTCAGCTATAAATTTGTGTTTGAAACTGCAAGAACTAATAAATTCCTTGCATAGTTAACTTTTTCACTTGCTGAAGTCTATTATGCATGCATGTTTATACATGAAAATTTATCTTTGATGTACTGAAATCCTAGAAATTTGAAATATATTTTGTAAAAGTCAGCCTTTGATGCTCACCATATTATTATTGTTATTATTATTATATATGAAAAGCATCCTGAACTCTGAATCTTAGCTTGCCCTTGCTTTGAAAGCAGGTTCCTCGATGACAAAGAAGACATTGCCAAATTGCGAAAATGCTTTGCAGGCTTATGGAGTTTAGATGATACTGAAATAATTACTGATGCAATCGAAAGACCTGAGTTATACGTGATGAAACCGCAAAGAGAAGGCGGAGGTACTATTATCTGCAGATTTTCTGATTTGATTAGAGTACTTTTTCATATGTATGTAATTTGTGATATTTTTATTATCATTCTACACAGGAAACAACATTTATGGGAATGAGGTGAAGGAAGCAATGCTAAGAATACAGAAGGGAGGATCCGAAGAAGATGCTGCGTACATCCTTATGCAAAGGATTTTTCCGACTGTTTTCCCAGCACTTCTGGTACGAGAAGGCATTTTTCACAAAGATCATGCTATATCAGAGCTAGGAATATATGGTGCTTATTTAAGGTATTTAACTACACACTCAACTTTATTCTTCATTAGCTGTCATAATATACACTCGTGCAATGAAAAGGAGTTAAGGAGATATAAAGAAGCAGAATGAACACCCCCTCCCCCCTAAAAAAAAGTTTTCTCTCAAATCGTAGTCATGCAACATCTCATTCACATACAAAATTTTGGACATTTATCTCAAATTTGGTAATACAAGTAAAGACCCAAGAGTAATGAATGTATCAAATTTTATGAAATAAGTTTCATTTCAATGTTCATTGTAATGAACTTCACCCATGTGCTTTTCTGTATAAATATTATTACCAATTTATATTTACTATTTAGTGGTATTAGAAAAGCACTACCGCGACATAGCGTGGATATTGGCTTAAATTTACAAATATTGCAATGGTTATATCTCACCAAGATTTCCGTAATGTGCAGAAACAAAGAGAATATTATCATAAATGAGCAATGTGGTTACTTGATGCGGACAAAGGTTTCTTCATCAGATGAGGGTGGAGTTGCAGCTGGTTTCGCTGTCTTGGACAGTTTGTACTTGAGTTGATAGTTTGAATGGAGAAAGCAATGTATGATTGCTAAAAGTTGACATTTACATTTGCATTGGTTTCAATTTAGCTAGATCATGAAGGGCAAGAATTGGCTTGTGGCTTTAAATGGAGGAATAAGATTATTGTAAAAAAAACAGAAATTTACAAGGGAGTACCAAAATTATTTTTGAAAGATTTTTATTCCAGTCTTTGAAAGGGCTGTTTTCGTTTTGAATAGTGGCATATGAGACATAGTAGGCATTTGTTTTAACACAGGAATTGTTCATGCATTCTTGCATGAAGTTTCTATTAATATAAATATGGCTCCAAGGGTGCATCCAATCACCTAAAGTCCTAAAACATGTATTAGGGCGATGTTGGGCAAAATGTAGCTTTAGTGGTATTTGTTAGCTGTCAACAAATTGTTAGCTGTGAAAATGAATAATTAAGTTTGAGTGTTTGGTAAAGTAGCGATTGTCGGTTGATTAGTTGTTGCTTTGGCAAAAAAAAAAAAAAAAAAAAAAAAAAAAAAAAAAAAAAAACTACCTCTAACTTTCAAAAGCTAATAATATTAACTTTTGACAAAAGCTACCTGACTTGGTTAAGCTACCCAAAAAAAACTACTTAAAAGTTACTACGAAGTACCAAACACGTCTTAATTCACTTTCATAGTCTCAAAAATGTAATCAAGGGACTTTCATAGTCTCAAACATGTAATCTAAGGGACTATTTGTGCAATGTCAAGCATGGGCAGACCTATAAAGCCCAGGTGGGGAGCAGCTGCATCCCTATTTTGTAAAAAATAAATCAGGTCCATTAGGCCTATATAGATTAAAAGAAGAAAAACCCATAAATTTGGACCCTATTTCTAATGTCATCACTTAAAGACCGACTAACCAAGAGTCCAAAACAACTAGATATAAAATATAATGTTTTTTTTTACAAAAATTGTTGGCCATCTAATCACTTTTCACGAGAGATTAGGGCCCATATTCTAATTTTATCTCTCCAACTCCAGGAACCCACAAATACAAACAGTGAAACAGACACCTATATTTGCTACTCTCACATCTGATCTGCCGCTGCCCAACCCGACTTTGGCACCGTCCATCGGACACCAATAGTGCCCCTTTATAAATTTATTTTGGACCCCCATTTATTATTTTCTGGTTTCTAGATCCGCCACTAATGTCAAGCATAACTCTCATGAGTAAGATAATAGCTTGACTAAGGAATCAACAAACTAACATTAAGGGGGCTAACAAGAATGCACACAAATTGTTCATTTCAGCCGCCACATGACTCAATCACTAATTGACACATTTCAGCCAAATTGGCATGTTATAGTAGGACATGTGGCAGCATATTTGCCATACTTATACTATATTTCTAAGGGCGTATTGGTACAAAAATTATAAAACCCAAGAAATATTATTCACAATGAATTGACCAAAATATCTTTCAATAATGACACATGTCCTTTTGTTGATTATCCCATCAAAAAGATACATTTTAGGTTAACCTTTAGTAGCACACTCACTATAAATACTCTATTTATTCCGTGAAGGAACATACATTTAGTTCAAACTTTATTAAGTCATAATAATAAAGATTAAAGATTTATTTTGATAATGACACATGTTCTTTTCACAATGATTATCCAATTAAAATGATACATTTTACGTTAACCTCTAATAGTACACACTCATTATAAATACCCTGTTTATTCCGTGAAAGGACTTATATTAATTGATACACAATTTTAAAGATAACAATGCTTAAAAGTTCAAATTTTGTCTACTTTCCTGAGTCTTATGCCGCTAATCAAACTTTAAACAAAATCATTATTATAAAAATATTAAAAAATATTTGTTGAAAATATTCGATAACAACCGCCAAAACAAGATGTCAAAAACAAACCACGTACGGTGACCATGAAATCCACCATATTTGTCGTTCATAATATTTTATCGTTAGAAATTTTCAAATTTTGAAAAAGAATTAAAATATATATATATATATATATAAATGAAAGCAATTTGAAAAAAATATTAACGCAAATAAAATGGATTATAAAATCTAAGAAATTAATTTGTGGGAAATTTTGTAGATGAAGAATTAGAGTTTTGTGGCCAAAAAGCATGGGAAGAAATGGATTAACAAATCGTGGAAGGGATAAATAGTCCCAATCTACATAAATCTCCATAATTATATTTTTTTTTCGCTTTTTCTTTTCTTGAATAAGATTAAAACTTTAAATTATTTCTTGTCGGCACCAAAACAAAGAGAAATCAAATCAGGGTTCTCTTTATTCTTATTATAAATATGCGAAAGATAAATACGTATAAAAGCAAGGGTTTATGTATGTGAAGTTGGGCTTATTTGAACATGTTTCGTAATTTCATAATAATAAAAAGGTTTTTTTTTATTTATTACTTTTACAAAAAAAAAATCAAAAACAAAATTGTTTTTTTACCTCCAAAACTGGGCATTTTATTTGACCCTATGAGTCCAATTTAAGGTCAGAATTGAAAAAAATGTTCGCAAATGACTCGTTTTTCCTACTAAAAAATACCTCAATTGATGTGAAACACGCAAAACGAGGCTTTTTGATTATTTTTTGTCAATTCTGACTTCAAATTGGAACTATTGAAAAGATAAAAATAAATATCATTATTATAAAAATATTGAAAAGAATTTATTTAAAAATATTCGATAACAATCGCCAAAACAATATGTCAAAAACATTTTATAATAATGAACATAAGTATAATAAAAATGATAATATACCTGAAAGTGTTGCAAAAATTATTTAGAGTAGGGAAAAAATACTTCAAATTCCTAAAGGAAATTTGGCAAAAACTTGGAAGAATCAAGCAGAAAAAGAAGATTTAAGAGATCATTTGCAGTCAATAACTGGGTTTGGCTTAAGTTTCATTCAAGGGTAATAATAAGTTGTTTGTGTCTTTCAAGGTTACAGTAGCTATTGATGGGAAGATTGCTTTCAAACTACAGTTGTCTAGCTATGCTAAAACTAATAATGTGTTTCATGTCTCTCAACTTAAGCTTTTTAGAGGCAAGCTCTCATATATATAATGCGATTTAATAATAGTAATTATATTAATGCATTATAATATTATTTTCATTAAAAAAAATACTAAATGCTGTAAGATGGTATCCTCTAAAGGATTTCTCCATTAACTAAGTTCTCCAATGTTAATCCAAGGTTGTGCTTGCCACATGACTTTTAATGCCCCATTCTCCATCCTTTTCACCCTTACTCCCTTTTTCTCACACACTTTTAGGCCCTTTTTGGTCGAAGGAATTTGGATGAAAAATAAAAGAAAGGAAATTGTTTTAATCAAATTTCCATATTTGGTTGAATAAATAACATAAAAATTTAAAGGAAATGAAGGTAAGTGGGAGGAAACTCTCTTAACAAAATTTTGGCTTTCCTTTCCTCCCAAAATCGGAGGAATTTGACTGGAAAGAGAAAAATAAAAGTAATTTCCTTTCTCTTTTCTTCATTTTCTATTCATCAACCAAGTATTGGAAAATCACCTTCCTTTCCTTTTTTTTTTTTCCCTTCCCATCCTTTCTCTTCTTTTCCTTTACTAATATTGAACCAAACAAAGCCTTATTGCATCCCTTTTATCCTTTTTGACGATAATGAATAATCATCCAGCTGAAATTCTTCAATTTTTTTTTAAGTTTGATATATCGTGTGCATATTTTCAAAGTCATTTTAGTTATTTTTTGAGTCCAATTCAGCTGATTTTGGTTCATTTTGGCTTGATTTGGTTTAACTGCAATGACTTTGTGGTTTTATGGGTAGATTTTTTATTTTATTTATTTTTTATTTTTTTTATTTTTGATGTAATTCAGGATTAACAAATCTAATTTTGGTGATTTTATGGTATTACGAACCTAAACCAAGACTCACGACGATCAATGATTGAATCTAAGTTCGTTTGGAGAAGTTTTCAAATCAAGTACGTCCATGTTGGATAAAGCATGGATGTGCCTAGTCAAGAAAGGAAGTAAAGAAGCTGAGAAAAGAAGAAAAATGTCCAAGCATGTCCATGCTCGATAGAGGCACGCTCGTGCTCGAGTATGGTGTCTATGCCTTTGTGCGGGCGTGGACGTGTAGGTGCGAGTGAAGCACGATGTTGTGCAGGTACGTCCGTGCCTCATTGATGAAAAAGTTAGTGTAGCTACTGCCTCGATTTTGAGAGGGGGCACGTCCATGCCCTTGAGAAGACACGCCCGTGTTGTTGCGGAAGATGCCATGGAGTTGTTATGCAGACACGTCCGTGCCTGTGCCCCAACGAAGAAACTGTAGATGTGTGCAGTCAGGCACGTCCATGCCTTATTTTTGCATGTCTGTGCCTGGACACGTATTTTAGGAAATTTAAGATTATAAATAATTCTTTATTTTCTTAGTTTTATGAGATGAACTCTTAGACCTATTTTGCTCTCTAGAACTTAATTTCCTTTGCAATTCAAGATTTGGTACTTTCTTACTCTCTTTAATTTCTTTTATTATTAATTAATTATGTTTTCTTTGATTCTTGTTCTTGTTTTCTTAACCCGAATTGAATATGATTGATGCATGAATTATTTTTTAAAATTCTTTAATGATAATTGCAATTGACATGAGATTGTGATTATGCCAATACTATATTAGAGATAAGTAGTATTGTTATAATCCATTGTTTTTATCGCAACGAGAGTTGGATTCTAACGGGTTTGAATAAATCAATTAAGGGTTTGAAAGTCATCACGAGAGTAGTTGAATGAATAATTAGGAAGTTAAATGATGTGTTTAATGTCGATACCACGAGAGTTGGCTTGATTGTGATTAGAGAAACCATTGATAACTCGAGAGAGACTTTTATGTTAGGGATAGAATGACTATGTACTGATTATATTCGTGGTGATGCTTGATCTTGGTTGTTTGTATTATCGAAATTCTCTTAGTAATTGCTTGAGTCGTTATGATTGGTTGAACCATAGTATTTTGGGATCCGACCCTTACTTGCCCTTTTACATAGTTAGTGGTGTAGTTAGGTTTACTTTCGTCAGGTGTGCAACACGCCAATCAAAGTTAAAATCCCTTGTCAATCATTTACTTTGCAAAAAATATGGATGGTAAAGCAAATTTAGGGTTTGAAAAGAGAAACAAAAGGTTGAGAAATGAGGATTTCAAATCAACATGACAAGCACTTGCTTGGATCAACGACGAATAACTTAGTCAATGGGGAAAATCCAACAAAGGGTAACTACTTACAACATTTAGTATTTTATAAGGTAGTTTATTACAATATTTTTCAGAATGTGTGGTTGCCACAAAATATAGATTGCATAAGCTTGTCAAATAAAATACAACGTACTTCAAATGTCCATATGTTGATGAGAATATATGTTTAAATTCTTTTTCTTCAAAATACAATCTCCAACAATGAGACATTACACAAGAAATTTTTAAATAAAATCTAAACACAGGACACTATAATGAAGCAAATTGTTACAAAGAATACAATCAAGGGCTATATAAAGGACAATATCCGATATTCAACCCCATTCAGTTAGTAATTTAGTATACATGGTAAGCAGGTTGTATGAGATTATATATGATAGTTGAATAAAAGAATCTGCAACCAATGAAGCACCTGCCTGTACAAAGTATAGTAAAGGAATAGATCAACAATTGATAGGTTTATGTTCTTCACCTTCAACATGATTATTGCAGCTCTCTTTTAGTCCACCAAGTTGACCATCTTTCCCAGAATAAGGGCTGGAATCGTCATCTGCACTATGGTCTGAATCTTCTAGATGATCAAAGAAGCTATCGAGGTACCAAGTGCATTTTTCATTCCATTCACCCCTCTTAGCATGGGCCCTCCACTTCTGGTCAGCTACCATCTCAGGAGAGAGTCCCCATTCCAGTAACTCTTCCTCTGTGTGGTTGATAGCCAGGCTGTACTCTCCCCCCTCGCCTAACTCCATCACTCGATATTCACAGTTTCCTGGATTATTAAGGTACTCAAACTGTTCAACTGTCCACTTGAACCACTTCATCAAAAATACACGTGATAATAAACCGTGTGTTACAATTACAAGGTTAAGTTCATGGTCAGGGTCATGCTGAAGTCGGTGCATGTCTATGTCCCTCCATAATGACTCCATGAAACCTGCAATTTGCTTAAAGCTCAGTTATATGATACCAAATGCTTGCTAATACAAAATCAACTGAAAACAGAAGCATGACAATTTTGGAAGTTTAGAGGGAACAACTATCCACAGTCGCACAAATCCATAATTTTCAAGAAACTGCAGTATGAAGTAAAGGGGTGGAGTTGGTTGACCAAATATTTTCAAGACTTGAGATATGGTAGAGCTAGAATCATAGAATAACAGATTATATATAATAGCAAAATGGCTTCACGTTGTCACCAAGAACAGCAGGGACCCTTCAAACTTGATCAGAGCCATGCTCTGAAGAAATTTATTTTTCAAACAAGCAGCCATCTTGAGTCTTGACACAGCTTTGAGTGCTCAAATTCTTTTTGCATTGCGGGGAAAATTATTCTCTCGTGATACTTTTTTAATCTGAGTACAAAGGAAGGCAAGCACAAAGACTTGATACAAACTGAGTCTAGAGTATCATATTGTGGAAAGTTCTTCACAAAGAAACAAACTTATTACCGCCACTATAAAAACAGAGTATACTGATAAGAAAAAGGATTTGTATATTATAAGCATAAAGAGCACGAGGAGGGGAAGTTGTCATCAAGTAGAAACATGATTAACACTATTAAGTAAGAAGTACTACTAATTGGACTCTTTCCAACTCCAGAGTTCTCCTTCAGAGCTGTAACTGTTAGATTGTTTACCCATCCTCCAACCATAAGGCACTCCATACGCAAGCAGCAGAATTGAATTATTCTACTTCATCATAGTGATTAGTGAAAGACTAATGGTTCACATCTTGATTCTTAAGTTAGACAAAAAGTTCATCAAAAAATATAAAAATTAAAATTAAGTAGAGAAATAACTTAGTACCTCTAGCAGTCTAGCCACACAAAATAAGACTCCATAAATAAATGCACTCAGAGTCCATATATGGATGCATATGAAGTGATCTATGTAACTCGAACTTGGGTAATTATGTATGTGTTCAAGTGTCAATTTGACTAATTTGTGAATAGATTCCTGATTCTGGCAAGAAATGAAGTGTCAAAGTGTCTACAGCAACATTGAAGTATCAATCCAATCCGGGTACTTGAGGTTAAGTGAAGAGTAAAAGTATGCAGAAAGCCAGAAACAATCTACTAGATGTCTCACTCAAAGGCATATAATCTGTACCTTTTCAAGCATAATTACTATTGTATTGCCATTACAGCTCAAAAGACCAATGATTAAACATAATTTCACATGTATAACATGATACTTCAGCACTTTGTTTGGATGACTAATTAACTATTGTGGAAGGAAAGAGATGGAATAAAAGAGAAAAGAAGGGAGGGGATGGAGTAATTATTAAGTAAGCTAGCATTTTCCTTCCAATTCTAAGCAATAAAGGAAGGAATTCCCTCTCCTTAAAGTCAATTTCCAAAAAAGTAGTGAATCTATCCCTCTATTTCCCTCCAAATTATCATATTCAAACATTTGATATTGTCCACATTTCCTGCAAAGTGGAATATTTCTATGCATTATAAGGTTTTTCTCTTGGTTAGTCGACTATGTTCATTGTTCAGCAGAATACTCGGGAATCTACAAAAGAAAGAATTTACCTAGTTATTGATAATATATAAAAAAGAATCCGTCAATCTTCACGACACTCCTTTGTTTTTTATATTCAATAGCCACTCGCAAAGACAATTCTCCATCAATACAAACACTAACTGCCCTGGATTCCGTCAAATCTCGTCAATTTTTTAAAACAAGCAGAGAGAGTAGATGTGTAACTAACTCATCAAATACTCAAATGCACTATCTCACCAAGAGATTTCCTTAACATGGACACAACTCATAAATTATACCAAATCTGGTAAACTGCAGGTCGTATGATCCAATTTACCCAAACAAGAAACCATGATACACTTTGATATAAATATAATTCTTCCCAATAGCATAATAAATAATCTTCAACACATAAAATTTCTTATCTTCGTTGACTTTTTCCCAACATAAATACTCGTTGACTTTTCAGATAGAAATCTCAGCCCCAGAATTAAATACAGCAATAATAATCCAAAGTCTAAATCCCATGAAAATTACATCAAACAACGCCCACAATTCCACCTAATACCAATGAATAAGACAAGGCAATGACAAGATCAAGGTGACTACTTTTAGAAGAAAGCCTCAACCTCAACAAACATTACATTAAATCTCTAAGAACAATTAATCTCCAAAACTTTTATCACCCATTTCCTACAAATACTATCAATACCTTCAAATCTTATAAGCTACCTACACATTTTACTTTAAACCCCCATTAACAAGAAATCGAAAGCACACATAGCAATGATATAGACGGAATTCGACCCGAGTTCTTGAATAGTAGGAGTTCCCCTTAGCTAAGACTATAAATGATCACAAACTAGTAAAACTACTCGATCACTTAATGCAATCATCATCAAAATATATGCAAAATCTCTAAATCCCCAGAAAAATAAACACTCGAATCAAACACCCATCAAACAAAAACACCCCAAATAACACAAAAACCTATAAATTCAAAGAATAAAGAGAAAGAGAGAGAAGGACTAACTCTAAAACCCCAGAAAAATAAACATTCAAATTAAACACCCATCAAACAAAAACACCCAAATAACACAACACACTAAAAATTCAAAGAATAAAGACAAAGAGAGAGAAGAACTAACTTGAAATACGATCATAAACATCAGCAGCAGATTCCCCTTCAGGAAAACGATAGAAGAACCTCCCAAATTTCTCTCTAGTTTGTTTAATAGCCATCATTCTCTCCTCAACTTGAAAATTCCCAAAATCCTGCTCTCTAATTCTACACTCTTCTCTCACCCCAATCACCCTTCTCCTCGGAAACGACCGTCCGATCTCTCGGAGAGTGGATCTAGTCCGTTCATAAGGGGACACATAGAAATACACTCTCCAAGCAGCGGCGGCATCAGCGGAGAAAGAGGAAGTGTCGAGTAAACGACGGATTGAGTTCCCAGCTTCACGAGCTTGGTTAATTCCGTCGGAAGTAAGAGGGATGCTGTGATCGGGTGTTACTGAGTATGCTTTTGTGTCGATGTTTCCTTGGCTTTCGCCGTGTCGTACTAGGATTATTCTCTTTGGAAGTTTGTAGTGTCCCATTGAAATGAAATGAGTGGTTTTAGGGGTGGTTTTGAGGGTAGTTTTGGGGGTGGTAATGGTGGTTTTGAGGGTGGTTGGAGTGGTTTTGGGGGGGATGTTGAAATTGGTTTTGTTTTCTGGGAAGAATAGTTAAAGGGGGGTTAAGGGGACTTATATGGGGTTAGGAGAAGGAAGAAGACGTGTTAAGTTTGGTTGAAGAAATAATGGAATTATGGGATGGACTATTTTGTCAATTAGGTTGGGCGTTTTTGTTATAATCGGGTTTCTGTCTGCCGGGACCATTTTTTGTACGGGGTATTGGGTTTTGATGTGTTACGGGTACGGCTCGCGATCCCAGTAATGGTAAATGCCTTGTATTCAGGGATGGTAATTTAGTTCGAATTTCAAATTTGAAAAATGTACGAATTTGACTCCGTTTTAAAAATTCGTTGTTTTAGATAAATAAATAAGTTGGATCAAAATAAGGGTTTTTTTAGTTCATCATGTAAATTAAATAATTAATATGGAGTACTTAGTTTTATTTATATACTTCTTCCCTTTTAGTTAATAAATTCTCTCTATCACTCTCCTATCATATCGACGACCCTTTATATTTTTTCTCTTTTATCTCTTTAATTTCTACTCCAAAAAATGTCTAAGATGCCGCAATTATAAAGTGATACATTTAAAAAAACAGAGAAAGTAATTAATTATAGTTTCTTAAGTAATGCATGACAAATACACTGATGTGGCTAATCAATTGTAATTGATGTTTGACTTAAGCTTTACTCACTTCATTTCTTTTTTAAGGTCACGTTTTGGTTTTTCACAAGTATTTAGAAAAAATATTTTAGGAGCATAAAACGAGAGTATTACAATACAATTCCTGTTCTTTTGAGCTTCTGGCAGAGCAGGGCTTTCACATACTGTTGTACAGAGTAGAGCATATTTTAACAGAATAGAACAAAGCAGAGAAGATTTCAATAGAACAAAATAGTGCAAGACAGAGCAAAACAACTCTAAAAAATAGGACTTAAGTAATACGGAGTACGAGAAACCAATTGGTGTAATTATAGATATCTAGACGAACTTTACCATCACAACTTTCCATAATGCTAAGCTAGGGGTGATAGTTAAATTCGTGGGAAAGGAGAGATAAAAGGGCATATTGATGATGTGGCGTCAATTAGTAAATTTAAGATGAGGTTTTGGCTTGTTACGTGATTGAAAATTTGTACAAACCGGTGGCTCATCGTGCTGGACTAGTGGTACGCACACCTTGTGCATGCTTCAATATTCAACATGTTCGATTCTTTCCCCATTCAAAAGCAACAACAATATGCTTGCTTTTCCAACCTATACATAGCATATATGCATTCTATTGTGTTGTGCACATTACTTCTATGCTTACGTTACGCAAATTAAGTGTTTACTTTTTTTTTTTTTAGGTAAAGAAAAAGTTCCTGATCGTAGCTCAACCCTCACGGTTTTTTTTTTATTTAGTATTTGTGGGTCAAATACTTTGGGAATGAGGAGGAAGGGTAAGGGATCCCCACTCTCAAAGTGTCTCTAATAGGAATTGAACCCACAACCTCAAGGTTGAAAGGTGACAATCTTACCACTAGAGCTAGCTTATCTTGGTAAATTAAGGGTCTGTTCTCATTGATTGAACTTAGCTGAAATGAACTGAAATGAACTAAGCTGAATTGAGCTGAACTAACCTGAGCTGAACTGAACTGAACTGAATATTTTATAAGAGAAGGAAATTAGGAGCTGAACTGAACTGAACTGAACTGAGCTGAACTGAACTGAACTGAACTGAATTGAATTTCAATGTATGAGAACAGGCTCTAAGTGTTTACTTGGCTGAAAAAATAGCATGGAAAGTTGTGTATACATATTTTACTTCGAAATTTTTATTTATAACAAAATGGAGAAAGATATTAGCAGGTTAAATGACCGTGCTGTTATATTTCCTCTTCCTAATATATACAATCACGTACTTTGTATAGTTCTTAAAAAATGTGCTTTATGTTCGGAGTATGTCGTTTCATAAACTATTTATTAATACTACGTGTTTGGGTTCAATTTATCTAATTGGGCCTAGTCATGTATTTGGGTCCAATTATCTTATTGAGCCTGGTCACTAAATGACTTCATATTCCAAGGTCAAGGCCCGAGCCTCCAATCAAGCCAAGTCAACCAAGAGTCCTTTGGTCCGAATTGCCATGGTCAGCCCATGACTATTTAAAGGCCCAATTGCTCTCCTCTCATCATGTGCAAAGGTATAAAAGCCTTCAATTCATTCATTCATAGGACAACACAACAAAGCCTCAAGCATCAAATCTCTTGCACATCTTTCTCTTTCTAAACACTGTTTGACTTCGGCATCGGAGGGGTCTTCCTCGGATCCACCCCCGAGGCTAGTTTACGTGTTTTAGTTGTGCAGGAAACCTTCGGCCCAGCATCAATTGGACCGGACCAGTCTTCAGCCACTTCAGCGGGCCTTCGGCAAGGCCCCATTGTTTTCATCCGAAACAATTTGGCGCCGTCTGTGGGGAAGACTTTCAAAAATCTTTAAGCCAAATTTCTAATCAAAATCATCTTGCAATCATCTTAGTAGCAATGGCTAAGAACCGCAAGAGCAAAAGCCTCCGTCAAGGAGCAGGCGAAAAGCCTAAAACTCCTACACCATCGCCCTCACCGGACCGAAACTCTCCCAAGGGTGCCAGTTCGGGGGGAGGATCATACAGGGAGGATTCCCTTTCTCCCGTAATTCACAACTCTCATCATAGGCCGAGTCCCTCTCGGTCTAGCAGAGGTCAGTCCAATCATAGGACTCATTCAGTGCCCCAAAGCCAACCATCGACCGTCCGCTCTCATTCCCACACTCAGCCGAGGACCCCTTTGACGGGGCCCAGCTCGGAGGAGGTGGCGAGAGCGCTGGCAGTGCTCATGGAGGCAATGAGGGCACAAAACATGCCTCCACCTCGCGATCGAACTCCTCCGCATACCCGGCATCAGCGGAGGAAGCTAGACCATGATGGTGGGGAACCTCCTTCCTTCCAGGAACTGGAAAAGTGGGAAGAGGATTCCTAGAGAATTGAAAGAGAGAGGAAAAAGAACCCTCAATTTTTCAGAGGATCCTCAACCTCTCGACCAGAAACGCATAAAAGAAGCAGCTCAGCTTCTCGGCCAGAATCTGCTCGCCGAGAGCAACCTGAGACTGTTCGCCGAAGCGTCCTCGACCGACTCGGCGGCAAGGAACCGAGCGTGCACAGTCGCCTCTCGTTCCCCGCAGCCAAGGTCCAGACTTCCCAGCCAGGGACGAAAACCACTCCTACCTCTCTAAGAGGGCGGAGCGCAGTCCCTTCGGCCAGGAACAAGGGCAAGGCCGTTATGCTACCCACCAGTTCCCCATTCGAGCAATGGATACTGGAAGAGCACGTGCCCACGGTTAAAATACCGTCGCACATCACATATGATGGGACTTCGGATCCGAAGGACCACATTGCCTCGTATGAGGCTCATATGCATCTTTGCCCCAGGTCCGAAGCGACTTGGTGCAAATATTTTCCAACCACTCTCAAGGGGGTCGCGCAAGCATGGATCTCCAAGGGAGTGAAGCAAGGCTCTATAACAGGGTGGGATGATCTGTCCTCCAAATTTAGGAGCAAGTTTTCCACGGCAAACCGCCGAGAGAAGACTACTGCAGAACTCATGGGTCTGCAACAGGGGGAGACCGAAAGCCTCCGAGACTATCTGACCCGTTTCAGCAACGAGTCATCCAGCGTCTCTCAGCTGGACCAGGGGCTAGCCGTTTTTGCAATGTAGAATGGCCTTCAGCCTGGGAAGTTCCTAGACTTCATGGTCATGCATACCCCGCAGACCTTGGAGGAAGCTCTGAACGCCTCGGATAAATTCACCCGAGCCGAAGAGTGGAACAAAACAAAAACCCTATCTCAATCTGGGGGAGGTAAGCAAAAACAAACACCCTTGTCTGAAGGCCAAGGCCAGAGGACAAAGGGAAAGGCCAAGGCCTCGGAACAATCTTCGGCCAACGAGCCGAAAAAGGAAAAATCTGCCTCATACACAGGCAGATACGAGTCCTACACTCCGCTCTCTCTTCCACGCGCCAAAATTTACAGCGTGACGAAGGAAGAGCAGAGTTACCGAAAGCCGAGACCACTCCCAGAGTGGTATCAGCGAAAAAATAAAAATCAGTGGTGCGAGTTCCACGAATCTCCGGGACATAACACTGAGGAGTGTATCCAGCTGAAGGACCAGATCGAGGACATGGTCCGGAAGGGATACTTGAAAAAATACATCGCGGATCACCGCGAGAAAAAGGAGGCCGAGAAGTCAGGAAAGGACTCTCGGCAAGACCTCGACTTCCCCCTGAAGAACATTAAAAATGCGGAGGGAAAATTCTCTCTGATCAATGTTATCTCGGGAGGAATATGCTCTCGGAGGGAACACAAGCGACACCTTAGGGCTCTGACCCACCAGGTGAACAACGCTGACATTCAGCCTCCCCAGTCGCCGGTGCCGAACATGACGTTCACAGCCGCCGACTGCCGGGGGGTAACGTTCCCTCACGAGGATTCGTTGGTGATCATCGCCACGGTGGCCAACCACGACGTCAGCAAGGTCCTTGTTGACGGTGGCAGCGGAGCAAACATTCTGTTCCGAAAGGCCTACAATCAAATCAAGCTGAAGCCCAAGCACCTTACGCCGGTACCCTACCCGGTATCCAGATTCAATGGGGCTTCAACTTATCCAGATGGGAAGGTGACACTTCCTGTCACCATCGGCTGCGATGAGGCAGTCAGGAATGTCATGACTGAATTTTTGGTCATTGACGCTCCTTCAGTGTACAACGAGATTTTGGGGAGACCCATAATTCACGAGATCCAAGGGGTCGTCTCAACTTATCATCAGCTGATGATTTACGTCTCAGACGCCGGCTTCCCCGAAAGGATCCAGGGCAGCCAAAAGGACGCCCGAAGGTGCAACTACCTCAAGCCATCCACTAGTCGCCCATATGACGATGACAAGGATGAGGAGAAGAAAGAAAAAGAAAGAGATCCAAGCACAAAAAAGCCGAAAGGCCTAAGTGCTTCGGCCCAAGGTTCTGTGCCCAGAGAAAAAGGGCCAGAAAGGGAAAAGGCTAGCTCTTCATCTGAGCCGAAAGACTCAGAGAGCCAGCCGAAGAACAAAAAGTCTGGGACGCCTGCTGACATAGACATCAGGCCAGATTGTGAAGAGTCCAGTCCATCAGCAATGGACATGGACCAGCAGACTAAAACGGTCGAGTTGACCGAAGGAGACGCTGAGAAATGTGTAACAATCGGGATGGACCTTGATCCGAACACCCGTTGTGAACTTATTCAGCTCCTTTGGGACAACAGAGATGTGTTTGCTTTCTCGGCAGCTGATATGCCCGGGATAAGTCCAGACCTCATCTCCTATAAGCTTAATGTTGACCCAACGTGTCG